AAGCAAGTCTCCTGCCCAGTGTCATTCAGCTTTACTTGCTCTTTGGCCTAGGGAGTCCAGTGCTCTGTCCTGTGCTCTGCTTCTTGCTTCTGCTGCTCCTTTGCTGCTCATCCGCTGCTACTCTGTTATCATATCATTCGGTCCTTGGGTTTTAGAGGTTCAGTGTACAGGAATTTAGGGATACAAAGGACATGGGACATTTCTGGCTCTTCCTTGTTTATAGTGAGATCCTCTATTCCTGCTTCTGGGATGGCTCATTTTATACATGCTAGATTTCCAAGTTTTACCATCACAATGAACTCTGTTAACAATCATTAACAATTCAACCATATCATCCTATCAGCATCTTCTCCCACCTTTCCTAACCCAAACCCACCAGGAAAAAGTTGTACTGTGAGAGTTTCAAGGACGATGTGTGGAAGACCCATATGAGTAATCCACTACATTTGACTTCTCTATTGATTTATTGAAATCACCCCTTCACTTGGTGGCATGCTCATTCCCATAATTTTTACCCCAAGTAAGAATTAAAACAAAAGAATCAACTACACAACTGAGATTCTGTATGTTCTCTCTTTCTTGCCACACTCCACATCTGGTCTGGGGAAACGAATCACCATGGCTGTTCCTAGTTGGTACCTCTGTGCTGTTTCTCTGCCTCTGGGTGTGTGGAGGACCATGGTGTCTATTGTGTCTCTTATGCCTGAACTCCAAATTCTGATTCCTGAATCTTTTAGTTAAGTCTCAGCTTTGTCTGAACCAGTACAGATAGATGCTCAACACTGAAAAAGATTGCCCTCAAGTGCATGTTGTATTTTAAACCAAGAATAGGTCATTCTTTCCTTTAGATCCCCAAGAAGCAGGAATGAATGTCTTTGGCCTACACAATACTTCTGAGTCACATTAGGAAGCAGCTACCTGAGCGGCTACCTCATTGTCTCCACACTGGAAGTCTCAGTGGATGCAGTTTAGTCTCCTACCATGGCTGAAGGCTATATCTGGGGATTCTTCAGAACAAAACAAGGCTTGTCTTTCACTCCCTCCTCCAAAGACTAGCTTGTTGGAGTCAAGCAGAACTGTCATTTTCAGAAAATAGATAGCAATACATCTTGCTGAAAAGAATAAATAATGAGACCTCATCTTGACTTTTGACTTAGCAATAGATTCCCAGACCCTCAGACCACATTGGGCCATGACAGGGAACATGAGAGATGAATCTAAGTTTCTCTCAGGACTTCAGGTGAAGAGTTTCCCATGGACCCGCCTCAGAGGTGAGTGGCAATCTTTACAGCTGGAGCTGCTGTAAAGCTGAACTGAAAATCATCTGTTTTGCCACCCATACGACCCATCTTGTGGTTCATGGAGATGGGGCCAGAACGACAATTAATCTACAATTTGAATGGAAGCTTCTTCCCATGAATAATCCAAATTTCAAATAAAACCAAAACTAACAATTCCATCCACAGCAGTGGCATGTCAACCAGAGATGCTGGCACCTACTGCTGTGTGATGTTTGGGAAAGAGCATCCTGGCAAGGAGTATAAGTCTGGTCTCGGCACCCATGTGTTCATGAATGGTAACACAACATGAGCTAGCCAACTCCTCAGTCTGTGAACAGAGGTGGTGGTTGTAGTTGTGTGCCGTGGACTCAGTTCCAACTCAAAGTGTCCCTGTACAGGATTTACGAGGCTATAAATCTTTACGGGAGCATAAAGCATTATCTTTCACGTGTGGGACAAACTGCTGTCCCTGAAGTTAGCAGCCCAATTCATAAACTTTATGCTGTGATTTAATGCACCAGACTGCAAAGCCATTTCAACTGCAAGGTCGGCAGTTCAACTCCACAGGGGCTCTTGGGAAACCTTATACAGTGTCACTATGGGTCGGAACTGACTCGATGGCACTTCACAACAATAACAAAAATGCTGTGAATAGGAGCCTTAAAATCCTCCCCCTTCCGAGAGAAAGGAATAGTCAGAAACATCACACTAGAAGGCTTGTAAGTCCGTCTTCTGCCTATGACTGATTGGAATGGGGCTACAGTGTACCCAGTGAACAAGGCTTCGTGCGGAGCCTTTGCAATACATAAAACTATAGGTAGAAACCGGAACCACATCCAAATCTCCAGAGATGAGAAATCTCCACTTGAAAGGACGAGCAGACCAGCCTGGAGC